GCTCATCCAGTTCCAAACCCTGCCACAGGCAGGGATGCCTTCCACTAGAGCAGCTTGCTCCAAGCCCCCCTGTCAAGCCCCTGCCTTGAACACTGCCAGGGATGGGGCAGCCACAGCTTCTCTGGGCACCCTGTGCCAGCGCCTCAGCACCCTCACAGGGAAGAGCTTCTGCCTCAGAGCTCATCTCAGTCTCCCCTCGGGCAGGTTAAAGCCATTCCCCTTGGCCTGTCCCTACATCCCTTGTCCCAAGCCCCTCTCCAGGTTTCCTGCAGCCCCTTCAGGCACTGGAGCTGCTCTCAGGTCTCCCCTTCAGGAGCCTTCTCTTCTCCAGGCTGCCCCAGCCCAGCTCTCTCAGCCTGGCTCCAGAGCAGAGCTGCTCCAGCCCTCGCAGCACCTGCATGGCTTCCTCTGGCCTCACTTCAAGAGCTCCATGTCCCTCTTATGTTGGGGGCTTTTCTTATGCTGGTGGTAGAGTCTTGCCAGGGTGCAGCTGAGAGAGAGAATCCCTTCCCTTGGTCTGCTGGTCATGCTTCTTTTGATGCAGCCCAGGATACTGGGACTCTTACAGGCAGGATTGAATGTCTCCTAAAAATCTCTGCCCTGTGTAAGCATGAGAACCAGCTTGTGATTGGGCTTTCACTATGAAAATAAATAGAAGAGGTTGGTATCCCATGGACTGTCAGATTTGCATCCATGAAGCATCCCTTTGGGCAAGGGAAGGTATGGTCGTAGACAGCAGAGGGTAGGCTGAGGTCTTAACCCCTTCCTTTGAAGTTTTTCTTCAGATCTACCTTAAAAAGAATCCCCTGACTTTTACAGATGTGCAGCTGTGGGGTGATATTGTAAAAGTGGAGATCAGCATCTTCTCGCTGTTGGATCTAGGACATAGTAACGGGGTTGTGGCTGTCAGTGTGGCACCATAAATGAGTTGCTGAGCCCACCCCCATCCTGAGCCTACCTTTGAATTGGCGAGTATAGAGCTGGTCGTGCTTTCTGAGAGCCCTGAGATTTTCCTGCTGTCCTACCTTGATGGTACAATTGGTTCTGTGAGGGACAGTCCAGAAGTGTTGTGGGTGTTAATGGAACAGCCAGGCTTGCACAATGGACCTGGACAAAGAAATGTCTTGTGAATACCCAATGTGCAATCCAGTCTTTCTTGAGAACCCTGTGTTCATCCCGGGCTTGCTGAAGTTGGATACTCCTAACACTGGTCCCTAGTGAGGTATAAGGTGGGAACTGGGGAATAGCTTTGTCCTAGGAAAGAGAAATCGGGCATTTGGAACCAAATTTTGCGGTTGTGGAACTGCTTAATGTATTAGGCAGCCCTTTGGGGAGCTTTCTTCTAGTTATCATGGGTGACAGTAGCGACCACAACAGGTAAGGACAGAACTGGGGGACTGTGAAGATTTGGGGGAGTGTCCCTTCCCCTGGGGCAGACACTCCTGTGCAGATATAGCTGTCATTTGCCTTCTTCCTCAGGCTTCCTGCTTCTTCAGCCTTGCAGTCCTGAGTGCTGGGAAGTAAACCAGCTCTGTGGGCAGCCAGCAGCTGCCTCAGCACCTGCAGTTCTACGTGCAGGACATGGATTTCAACACTTCATTAGGGTCAGAAGCAGCCTTTGGCTCTGTGTATCCTGCAGGAGGCAAGGGTTCCCCTTCAAAGCAAAGGCTTTGAACCTGCTGCAGAGGCAGACTGATATTTCACCCTCTGTATGGTCTCTGAAGAGACCAGAGCAGCCTCAGATCTATGTGGGCAAGTTTCCATGGGGTTTATTGCTTTGCTGCAACGGGCAGAAGCAGGGCCAGATCTTCTCAGTAACCTCTTAGCTTCCAATCTGATCGTCCACACCCAGCATCTCTGGGGTTGTGCTCACACACCCCTCTCGTTCTGGGGACAGCCAAGAACTTGGGAAATCCTCTGTGAAAATGGCCAAGAAGGGAGGAGTACTCCTTTAAAACGGATTGTAAATTGAGAATTATTATTTTTCTGCATAGTGGGAAGTACAGTCATAAACTTCTCGCATGAATCATAGATGTGTGCTAAGGAATTCTGTTATCTCTTCATCTGTGTTGTGTTAGCAGCTGGAAGTCCCCAGCACTACCTCTGCTAGGAGCTCTCCTGACACAGGGGAGAAGACGGCTCTTCTGAAGAGATAACAAAGCATAAAAGCAACTATTAGGTAGGTCTGACTGATGGGGAATTGAGGTTCCCCTCAAAAGGGGGTGAGAAAGCACAAGCAGGGAGGAGAGGTGTGTTGGGACTGGCCTGTGCTTGTGTTGCGTGATGGATAGTTGTATGTGTCAATCCTACAGCTGCTTTCCTGCACTCAGCTCCGTAGGGATGGTTGCACACACCCAGCACTTCAGTGGTTGAGTGTGAGTGGATGGGCCCGTGGTGTGACGCTTGCACTGGGATGCAGAATGCATCTTTTCAGTCTCCAGGCAGACTGTGTGTGCCGACAAGACAGTGCTCGGCTTAACCCGGAGCAATCCCCCAGGGTGTCTGGGCAGGGTGATAATGTAGAAGGAATGCAGGGAGGGTAATGGAGAGGGAATCAGCATCCTCCATGCACTCCTGCTGTGGTCCTCAGTGTGCAGCTGAGTGCCCTCTCCTTTCCCCAGTCTCTTCTCCCTCGCAGCATGGGCAGGGCAGGCGCTTCTCGCTGCCCGTACTTGTTATGCCAGTCACACACATGCTGGTGCACAGACTAACACCCTCAGCAATCAATCTAAAAGATTAATTACCAACAAAAAAAAAGAGATCCCACAACCCCACTTGCAGCATTTGAAATGCGTCTCAACTGTGTTCTGCTTGGGTTATTCATGGGGCAAAGAAATCACCTCCTGAATCAAGCAATTGAGAATGCAAATATCCCAGCCTGGCTCAAAAGAGGAATCAAGCTCTGTACTGTCAAGCTGATTTGCATCCCCTTATGTGGGGTCCTGCTCTGAGCCCAGGGAGAAAATGTAGGGACAACTGTGCTTAATGCTTTGGGATGAGGTTTCTTAAGTTTTGCCCAGAGAGAAATTATAGTATTGCTGCTCCCGCTGTAAGAGACCGTAAGATAAGTTTTCTTGTTCTCTTCATGGCAACTGCCCTTCCTCTGGTGAGATCTTTCAGCCTTTTGTTTCCTGTCCCTGACCAGCTGTTTTTTGTGAGTTGAGTTGTTTTGTTGTTGTAAAATTGAAGCTTTTTACAGGCAGGGGAACAAAGATGTTCTTTTTTCTCTTGTGAGCAGGGAGGGAAAGTAGGTTGGAGCAGGTTCTCATGGGAGTGGGACTTCTGCTTCCAATAAGGATTTTACACTTTCTTTTGCCTTTTTACCCTATTCCCTGAAAGCAGTGTAGTCGTGTCTTCCAGAAAGATTAGGAATTACATCCTGATCCCTTTCAGTCCATATCCCAGCAGTGGGGTGGGAAATGCAGCATTTGGGAGTAGATTGGAAATAGAAAGAAAAAAGCAAAATGAATCCCAATCTGCTCCTTGCTGTTACGTCCCAGTGAACCTAAATCCTCTGTAATGTTCCTTGTTGTCTGTTGCGGATGTCAGAAGGAGAAGTAAAACAAAAGCTTTCCTGTTAAGTGCTGTTCATCAGTTACAGCCCATGCAGAGAAGCATGAGCATGGCTGGAAACCACCATGGCAGTAACAGGCTGTGCAGGGTCTTTTTCCCTCTAAAACCCACTGTGCATCCTCATTTCTCCAACTTCATTTTTCAGACAGCCTTCACTGTCTTTTCTTTCCCCCCTTTCCCTTTCCCATCCACTCTGTTTCTGAGTGGGTGGCCTGCAGCGATGGCCAGGAGACATGAGCTGGTTTGTCATGAGCTGATTTGACATGTGCTGGCACCATACAGGACAGATGGGTCTGTTTTGAGGACAGATCTTTGGATGTTCCATGTGAAATGTATCCCCGGCCTTGGGTTTTTCCTGACCCACCCTGACAATCCCACTTGGGTGGGTTTGCTGCCACTGCCTGAGTTAAACCTAGAATCATAGAATGCTTTGGGTTGGAAGGGATCTTAAGATCATGCAGTTCCAAACCCCTCTCATGGGCAGGGACACTTTACATCTCCCCATTGGATTAAAGCTGCAGAACCAGGGCTATCACTGTCATGAACTTAGAGCCACAACCTTTTAGTGTGGCAGCTGCTCCTAGGGATCCTTGTCCTGTTTGTTCCGTGCTGCAACATGTGGTTCCTGTTAATGGTTACTTACTGGTTTGTGCTGGGATGGCTGTTAAGTTGGAGGAGGGAGGCATCAAGTCATGGTTTCACATAAAAGCTGGCTGTTTGAAGATGTAACATGAATTATAGGCCTGTTCAGCCCATTGTGGTGTAACAACGATTTCTGGGATTGAAAATGGATATAGCTGTGGTTCAGGGGTTCCTCGTGATGGGACTTTTCTCCCTGTTTCATCTTCAAGTCAGTGTGAATGGAAAGAGCAGCAGCACATCCTGGTGAGATCCTGCATTCCCTGGTTTCTTTTGCACATCAGAAACTGGGAAAGCTTTGCCCAGGACAGAGAAGTTAGCGCAGAAGTAAAGGGGGCTGATTTCAGGGTTCATGGCACCAGTTCTAACCCTGTGAGGGTTACTCTTTTCAACCAGGGTCTTTAATTTTGTCTTCTGAATGTCTCCTCGATCACATGTGTGGATTCCTCTTGTGCCTGTGGACTTGTTTCATTTGAATGGCACTATATGTGGCAGTTGCCACTCTCCTGTCCATAATGAAGGGGTAGCTTAGCCTGTATGTACAGAGAAGTGGCAATTCCATAAAGCTTCTCCCAACTCTGAGCTGTATCTCCAGCATCTTCAACCTGTGCTGGAAACATTCTGTGATGAGTTCCCTGCCTGGGGAAACTTGCTTTTTTGAGTAACTTACAGCCATTAGAAGCTATAAGAAATCTCAGTGTTTTATATTCGGGATAATGAGTTTATCATCAAGTCTCTCCATTTCATTTTTGGTCTTATTAACCACGTTTCTCTTGTTTCGTTCCCAGAATGCCAGGACTGGTGGGCAGCAGGTTGCAGGCAGAACACTTCTACGCTTCCTGCAAACTGCACAGTCTGTTCTGCTGTGAAAAGCCTTCAGATAGTGACAGACTTTGGAGAACTATCAGAAAAGCTCCAGAGGCCTCAGCCTTTTCTAATCAAGGTAATGCAGGGCTTTGTAAGGCTGGATGATTAGTCCAAACTCACCAACCAAAGACCCCTGGCCAGTATTTTCAACTACATACTGCTGGTTGAGGTAGAACATGTATCTAAGAGAACATTTAGCCCCAGTCAAAAGATGTCAGGGGGTGAGGAGCTCTCTGCATCCTTAGCAAGTTGTTCCTCTGACTAATTACTGTGGTTGGAAACAGCAGTCTAGATGGCTGTCCCTCTTGGATGTTCTTTGGCAGGATGGAGATGGGAGTGGGGGGAACATCAGGTGCACAGCTTCTATCTTTGGTTTGTGTCATTTAAGACAGGGCAGCATCTCTCCTATGAAGAAATCAAACATTTTCAGTCTCAGGATCCAAAACTGGCAGAGGTTATAATAGAAGAAAACTCAGCTGAATTGTGGAGCTGCCCATTTTTCCTTCCCTGGTGAGTTAAAGACAAAACATATGATAGATGATACACATCCTTTCTGCAGAGGTGTCCTACCTCTTTGCCTTGGTTGGACTTGATGATGTTAAAGGTCTTTTCCAGCGTAGTTGATTCTGTGACTCTATATGAACAACCAGGAGCTTGCAAGCTGTACTTTAACTTTCACACTGAGCAGGGGAACAGCAGTGGGTTATGGGCTCTGCTTGCTAGCACTGATGTAACCCAAGGAGAAGGTTTACACTAAAAATGGAGTGTTGTGGCTGGGACTTCACATATTGTTCCCTTTGCAAGATAAAAATATCCAGTAACTGCTCGGTCTTGTTCTTCAGGCCATACATTAATCATCTGGGCTGTGGTCTGATCACCTGAGGCAACTGGTTTACATCTCTGATCCCCTCTGTCTGCTCAGTGGAAATCCTCCACCGTTAGTGTTGCTGAGAAGGGGTACCATGACTTCTGCAAAACACCGAGGAGTAGCAGAAAGCAGTTTGTGTTTGGTCCCGTGCAGGAAAAATGGCCAACCCTAATCCTGAGCTGCTGTTAACCAAAAGCTTTTTCCCGAAGCCTTTAGTGTGGCTCTGAGCTATGTGAACAATTCAGAGCTCTTTAAGGTTACAGAGCAACCCAGCAGCATCTTTTCATGTGGAGAAGGGTGAGGAGAACGTGAGGAGGTGCCTCCTGGCATGGAGCAGGAGCTTCACAGGAGCCAGCAGCAGCTCCTGGCATGTTTGTATGAGCAGAGGAGCATGGTTCAAGCAGACCTGGAGAAGGGCATGGTGGAGCCTGTGCCTTAGATGGGATCTTGCTGCGCTTCTTGTCCGCAGCACTGGTAGACAGATGGTCAGGGTACAGGAGTGTTAATCATGTCACTAGACTGAGATGGAAAAATAACAATCCCCACCCTGCCTTTTCCAGTTACGCTCCCTGGCCTAGAGAATAGACTTGTGTTCCCCCTCCTTGCCATGTGGTTTCAGTTATGGTTGTGTCCAGTACCACCTCTGTATCTTTGTAATTAACGGATATGATTGATGACTCAGATCATTTTAAGGGAAGGAGGTGGGAAGTTAACTTGAGGCATCCATCATGATCTTTGTTCCCTGTTTGCGTGGTCCTGCTACAGAAGGGGATAAGACAGAGCACAGGTTTAGAAGCTGGGAAGTCAAATTTGCTCCTGGGGCTGGGTTGCCATGCTGTTCATCAAGCAGGAATATTTGTGAAGAAGTAGAAAATAGTCTTTTAAACACAAGCATTATCATTGTAAGATATTTCTTTAATATGGGTTGTTTTGTTTAGGAACAAATCTGTGAATAAAACTCGGATTCTTCAGGAATTTTTCCCTGCTTCCTCTTTGCTGTCCTTCCCCAAGGCAGTGTCCCTGGAGAGCTGCTTCCTCATCCGCCATCCAGATCTGGGGAATAAGGTGAGAAGAAATTCATCCCAGAGACATTATCTCCTGACTGTTAGTTGTCCTCCAAGTCTCTGGGGGATTTGCAGGACGTTCTCAGCTGCTGCAATCCTGGCAAGAAGGGTTTAGGGGTTAGAGTTCTGTCCATCCCTGTGTAATGTGACATCTCAAGATTGCTGTGCCACCCAGAAGCTGTCTGGCTTTGTGCAGGTGGTACACCAGGCCCGTCTCCCTCAGCAGTTAGAGATGCCCAAGTGGTGTGCAAGCTCTGTTCACTTTCAGGGTGAGGGGATAGTCTTTTTGTGCACAGTTGGACAGAATTCATTGAAGAGTTGCATTGTAGGAGCTGTTTGGGGCAGTGAGTTTCACCCTTCTGAGATACCTGCCATCGAGGTGTTTCACTGAAGGTAGTGACACTTGAGGCTTCCAGCCTGATCTCCTCCTGCTTTCTTGTGGGTTTTGTGGGTGCAAAGAGCCTGTATTGCCTTGGGCAGAGATGGGAGTAGGAACCTTGCATGCAGCTGAGCTCAGGTATGACCTACTGGTAACTGGGAGGAGCAGCAAAGCTGTGGTTTGTGCTGTGTCACCTTGCTGCAGGGCAGAGACTTGCCCCCTTTTTGGTCAGACAGACCCAAGAGAAGCTGGCAAAGCTGTTGCAATGTTCTTTCATCCTAGAGCTACAGTCTGCACAGCCTCTTTGCTGTTGGAAGTGGACAGCTCACCCTGACTGTTGTACCTCTGGACAAGTGCAGAGAACACTGTGAGATGTTCAAGGTGGAGCTGGAAGCTGGAGATTTGGGTGAGTACTGGTGTTATAGTATGCAGGGTCTGGAAGATCCCTTGGTGTCAGAAGACTGCTTCCAGCTGGGTCTTTGCTGTGTGACACCTGAGAAGGTGGTGTGTTCCATTACCACCTCCAAACTGGTGTGTACCTGCTTGTGCCAGTACAGAGATCATCCTGGAATGGGACACATGTGACATTCAGTGTGAAAAGTGAGCAGGGTGGGCTGCACAAGACACGACGCTCTGCTGGGTATCACAACCCAGTGTGTCACAGAGGGCAGTGTCTTTCCAAAGAGCTTCTGCATACCTGCAGCACCTGATGGGAATCGGTGCAGTCATTAAGAATGGATTCATCTAATACACCCTCTTCATTGCCTCTCCCAAAGGTTATGCCAGCGCAGATTACTGGATGATGAGCTTCATGGCCAAAGGGACAGAGCCAGCAGTGATTTGTGATGGAGCTGCTAGCTAAGGACATGGGTGGGAGAACAGAGCTGTATCCAGGACAAGAAGACTTTCAGCTTTGAAGCCAAGGCAATGTCATGCAAGAGAATCGAGCTGGGGCAGGCAGCTTTGCCACCCTGCATGTTTACAATGTTTAAAAAGGACTGTTTCCCTGACCCTTGAGGTAATTCTTTGCCTTTCCCCAAATGTATTTTGGGAGAAGCTCAAGCTATTTATGATCTTCCCTGTCCTGTCAGGTAAGCCCTGGGTTTGCAGCAAAGGGATTTCTCAGGATGAGATTCACTTTGTGTCCTTTTTGGACTATGGCACTTCTGAAACTTCCTGGGGGGTTTGGGAGTGGAGGGGGTGTGTAACACTTGTGTGTACATTCCTCCTGAGGAGGAAGCTTTGAGCCTGTCTTGTCAGGCCAGCTCTATAAAGGGAATGAATTGATGTGTTCCAACTTCACCCTATCTCCATCACATTCGCAGCTGTGTGCCTCAGTGGTGTGCCCCATAAAGCCCATCTCTGCTCCATGCTCCAGGGTTGAGATGACCCTTGCAGCCTAAGGGCAGAGACCCTCAGCATCATTCTTGTACCAAAATAATCTGTTCAGGCCTCTTCTTTGTGTCTTGTGACCCCTCTCCTGCGGCTCTCTGTCAGCAGGTTATGAGTAAGTCAAATCGTAACTGTGCTTTTTCTTTCCCCACCTCCTTTCCTACAAACATACCAAGGCAAGTTTTGTGCTGGTGGTGCTGAGGGCCTCGTAATTCTGGATGGAGACGGGACTGGGGGCAGAGCAGCTCTGTGCAAGTTCCATCTCCTGATTCTGCACTTCAGACACAAGGGCTGCTCCACTGTTTCCTCCTTGCTTTGGGAGGTGCTGCCTGTGTCCCCCGCCCAGAGTACCTACAGGAGCACCTGAAAACTTCCTTGTCCCTGGTGTTTTTTTGCGTTGCCTCCATCCAGACCTGGAACTCTGTTGTCAGAGTGAACGTTGGTTTTTCCTGAGTCCTTTCCAAGCTGCCTTCACTTGCTTCCTGTTGCTCGAGCACTGCTCAGCAATGCCCTGAGAGAGGCTCAGTTTCAGTGTTTGCAGGCTGTGGATGCTGAGGGCTCTTCCAAGTCTGATCCTTTGGGTCTGATCCTGTTGTGGAAGATCATTTACAGATGTGTCAGGGCTGAACTGCCAGGCCAGGGCTGGGGTTCAGGATATATTCTCACACTTGTTAATATGGAATTGGGAGGGGGTTTGTTTGAAAGCGAGTTAACTCTGTTCTCAGGAGCAAGAACCTTTTCCTCTGTAAATACTTTAGGTACATGTGAAATGACAGGTTGGAAAACTGTGTGCCCAGCCTTTGTTTTTGAGCGAGACCAGGAGAATGGGAGCAAACATTGCACTGGTCCGAGTAAACTCTGACAAAAGCTGCCAAGTGGGATGACCACGTCTGGCTCCTGTACGAGGATAAGGCAGAGGACAGTTCCTGCTCCAAAGAATTTAGTCTGAGGCCTTGACACTACAAACATTTCTATGCATAACCCTTAGTTTTCTCCTGTAAACAAATGAGAGCAGCCCCAGGACCTGTGTCAGTCTGGATGCATGGCCCTCAACACTGCACCAACACACAGCAGGTCTGGTAGAACCGAAGGGGGAGAGTGTGACTGAGTCAGGACAGGAAAGGACTGATCTAATTTGTGACAAAATATTAAAGGGAATTGGATTAATAAGACTGCCATCAATATAATTAATGCTTGGGGGATGTTTTCCACTTGTGACACTACGTGCAATCTTGTACATGCCAAGACACACACCCCCCTCCTCCTCTCCCTCCTCTTAAAGCCTGGGTCTTAGTTAATGGAAATTTGGGGGTTTGGTGATGGCAGAATTAGGGCCTCGTTAGTGACTGTTGCTGTTTACACTCTGGCAGCTTCTCAAGTCAAATTCAAAGGCTGATGAGGTGACTTCACCTCTCACCCAGGTTGTACCTGAGCCCTTTGGTTAGAGACACGTGTGGGCAAAACCTGCTGGGCCTATGATTGTGGAGGCTGTGGGTGCTTTGGTGGTGCTGCCACTTCCAAGTGTCCTTGAATGTAACTTGTAAGAGCTGCAGAGACAATTCTCAAAGTGTCTGTGAAATGCCTGTGCTTTGTGAGTCCCGCCTAAGCCATTGTGGCTGTCTGGATCCTTTGGGAAGAAGCAGAGAAAACGGATCTATTGGTGCTTGCTGTTTAGACTGGGGGAAAAGGGGAGGGCTCCCGGGCAGGTTTGTGCCTATTTAACGAAAGTGCTCTCAGTATTGCTTCTCCCCTCCTCAGAGTTGCAGCTGGTTGGACAGAAGATGGTGAATCTGGCCTGTTTGCAGATCAGCTTTCCAAGTGCACTTTATGGTCTCTGCATAAGTTTCCAGCTCTGTGTCTAGGCGATACATTGCATATGTCCCAGCTGTGCTCCCTTTGGGGTTTACATCATTTGTTTTCAAACTTCCAGTATATTTTCTCTTCCTCTTCCAAAAGCTGTAAGGAATTAGCTGCTAAACTGAAACAGGAGGGCAGTTCTGCTGATAAAGAGCCGATCTTAGCCCTGGCCACTGTTGAGCCCCAGTCTGTAGCACGGCTTCTAGAGCAGCTCCTGTCCTCAGCTGCCAGAGGAGGAGCATGGGCAAGGAGCCGGGATGGAAAACTCGGATGCGAGGCCAAAGTGGCAAGATTGGGGTGGCCGGAAGGAGGTTTTGACCCCTTGGCCATCCAAGCAAGCAAGTCTTGGTTGTCTTCCTCACCCAGGGCTCCAGCTTCCCTTTGCAAGGGCTACAGGAAGGAGGCTGTGGCTTCCCTAGAGAGCCTGGCAGCTCCCAGTGAGCTGCTGAGGCTGAGCTGGGGGAGATGTGGCTGTTTCCTCAGCTACTGAGGCATCGATCAGATGAATCACTGGGGGTGTGTCCCACGTGCTCTCCCTCAGCTCCAGCCTCCCTTTGGCACTTGGGTGTATCCAAGTGTCCGTGCTGGTTTGGACAATCCCCACTCCCCACCCTGGTCAGCTTGGGGGGTGCCAATCAATGCATGCAACTTCCCTATTTAAAGCCTCTTTGTGTGCTGCAGAGCTCTGCCCATGAGCTGGGACATGGGCTCTGTTCACTCAGAGGCTGCAAAGCTGCTCTGGAATCACAGAGACCGGTACTACCCGAGAGCCCCGTGGGCAGAGGGGAGGGGGGATCATCCCTCTACTTGTCAGGGTACAAAGGCTGTCACCCGGCAGCAGGGCTGAGGCTCCTGGCTTAAAGATGTCTCCGTAAGCAGGGTCTCAGCCAGGCCTGAACTCAGGGTAACTGAAAGGAGGAGAAAGGAGGGGTGTTACTTCCTTCAGCACCAGGGAGTCAGCATCCCCTGTGGGAGCCAGGCTGCCAGCTCCTCTTGATTCTCTTTTTTCTCCCCTCTCGTTTTCCCCTCCCCTCTGGCACTGCACACACCAGTTCCCCCAGGGCAGCTGTCCGGGTCCCAGCCTCAAACCCCCTGAGCAGTGCCCTGGAGAATGGGTTTCCTGGGATCCCTGCTGCTTCTCCTGCTCCGCACTCTGGCAGAGGCTGGTTCTACTGGGCTGGATCAGAGCCCCCCTGCTCTCGTGGCTGCCCTCCCAGCACGTCCCACACGCAGCACGGGACAGTGGGGAGCAGAGCACCTCATCACTGGAGATGAGCTCCGGGAACAGCACCATCCCAGGCAGGGGATGCTCCTGCCTCTAAACCCGTGTTCACGTTGGGAATGCTGCTCCAGCAGGGAATTTTGCAGATCCCAGGCTCCATGATGGGAGTTTAGCCCCGTGGCTCCCAGGAGAACCGGATACGTTCTGTATTGAGGCCATGGTGGTGGGCGCACAACGAGCTTTGGCTTCCCACAAACCAAACTCTCACCTCTTGCTAAATTTCCTAGGTAGAACTCTGCTTTCTCCTCTTCAGGAAGCTCCTTCTTGCACAGGATTTACTGTCCTGCTGAGTTAAACACGGGAGATGCTGGACTTCCCCTTTGCTCTGGAGATTCAAGCACATGGCAAGTGATTACTCTTGGTGTTATCTCTTTGTCCTCAAGGAGAGAAGCTGTGTTAGAAGGGCTCAGGGGTGCTGGGAAGTCGAGCTGGACATGCATAAAGACTGTTTTGATGCTGAACACTATAAAGTCAGTGGTGGATTAAAAGAAAAAAGGATGTAAATATGCACTTAATGCAGAATTTTATGGATGGTCCTAATTTAATATATTGCAACCTTTGTAAATACTTGGGAAAAGCCTGTAAAGTGTGTAAATAAATGAGATTTGTATGGAAGAAGAATAAAAACAGTTTTTACTTTTTGCAATTAAATCCAAGTGTTAATGCAGCTTTTCCCCTTTCCTGATTCATTTTCATGTTGTATGTCAGTCATTGCGGGGTATTTAACCGTTTTAGGGCACTTTTTCTGGGTGGAAGTGTCATTTGAAGTGAAAAGTTGGAACATTTTCATTTGGAAATTCCGAAGGAACACTTTGGAGAATGTTTTGTCAGGTTTGGGCTGGTTCCCAAAGTTGGTGCCACAGCTCTGCCCATCCTTCCTTTCTTCCAGTAACAGTTTCTGTCCTCCCTTCACAATCCATAGAATCCCAGCCTGGTTTGGGTTGAAGGTACGTTAAAGCTCCTCCAGCTCCAACCCCTGCCACAGGCAGGGACCCCTTCCATAGAGCAGCTTGCTCCAAGCCCCTGTGTCCAACCTGGCCTTGAACACTGCCAGGGATGGGGCAGCCACAGCTTCTCTGGGCACCCTGTGCCAGCGCCTCAGCACCCTCACAGGGAAGAGCTTCTGCCTAAGAGCTCATCTCAGTCTCCCCTCTGGCAGGTTAAAGCCATTCCCCTTGGCCTGTCCCTACATCCCTTGTCCCAAGCCCCTCTCCAGCTTTCCTGCAGCCCCTTCAGGCACTGGAGCTGCTCTCAGGTCTCCCCTTCAGGAGCCTTCTCTTCTCCAGGCTGCCCCAGCCCAGCTCTCTCAGCCTGGCTCCAGAGCAGAGCTGCTCCAGCCCTCGCAGCATCTCCATGGCCTCCTCTGGCCTCGCTCCAACAGCTCCACGTCCCTCTTGTGCTGCTGCCCCAGAGCTGGATCAGGGCTGCAGGGGGGTCTCCCCAGAGCACAGCAGAGGGGCAGGATCCCCTCCCTGGCCTGTGCTCACGCTCCTTATTCAGCCCTACCTGACAGGGCTGATGGTGAAGCTCCTCCAGAGCGCATAAAAGCGGGCAAGTAGAGGAGAGAAAGATCCTGCTGCTCCTCCCAAGGCAACGCCTGGGCCCTCTCAGACACCAGAGGACCCACACTGGAGACCTTCAAGACATGAGTCAGTGGCAACCCAGCCTTTGCTGCTCCCCAGCCCGGAGCGGAGCCTTCCTGGAGCCTTCCAGCCTCGAGCCAGGCCTTGCACACCCCTTTGGTGCCTGTCACGGCTCCTGCCTGTGCCGAGGCTGCGGGTGCCGGGGCAGGCAGCAGGAGAGCCGCGTTCCTCTTGCACTTACCTAATGGTGCTGGACGGGAGCCGTCAGCCCCGGGGTGGGGACCTTGTGCTCCCAGTCTCCGTGCTTCAGACGCTGGCTCCAGCAGGAGCCCTGTGGGCAGGTTGGGGAGCTGGGAAATGGCTCTGCTCCCCCTTTGCCTGCAGCTGCTCTTGACCTTGCCCCGTGAGCCACATGCCCCGGTTGTGCCTCCTTCAGGGCTGTTTTCCCTACAAGCACCATGTGCCCCGTTTCCCTTAATCCTTGTTGCCACGCTATCTCCTGTGAGCCTTAGTCAGGACGCTGTAGTGCCAGGGGCTGCTACATGGTAGCGTGGCCCTTCATCTCTGCACCGTGTCTGCAGAGATCTGTGCCTGCACTGGGGCTTTGCGAACTGCTGCATTCCTTGTAAGTCAGACCCTGGTGAGCTGAGCAGCAGGAGCTATAACCAGCGCTGATCCCTTCGCACAAGGAAGGGACTCTCTGCCCTCTGACATAGAGCAGAGCTTTGTAAGAGTCATTCAGTCCCACCTGTAGGATTCCCCGTGTCCTGGGCTGGTCCCCAGAGCGTGAGCACAGCTCATGGAGGGGATCCTGCCCCTCTGCTGTGCTCTGGGGAGACCCCCCCTGCAGCCCTGATCCAGCTCTGGGGCAGCAGCACAAGAGGGACGTGGAACTGTTGGAGCGAGGCCAGAGGAGGCCGTGGAGATGCTGCAAGGGCTGGAGCAGCTCTGCTCTGGAGCCAGGCTGAGAGAGCTGGGCTGGGGCAGCCTGGAGAAGAGAAGGCTCCTGAAGGGGAGACCTGAGAGCAGCTCCAGTGCCTGAAGGGGCTGCAGGAAAGCTGGAGAGGGGCTTGGGACAAGGGATGTAGGGACAGGCCAAGGGGAATGGCTTTAACCTGCCAGAGGGGAGACTGAGATGAGCTCTTAGGCAGAAGCTGGGAGTTGAAGGCCTGTTGAGATGTCAGCCCAGACCCTGGTTGCCGCAATCATTGAACTACCAAGGCCACGGTAGACCCTGGACCCACTGAAGCCAAGCGGGGGCCAGGAGATCTGCTGTGGTCAGAGGTGATCGGTGTGGTCCAAACCAGGAGAGGTGGTGAAGCCCGGCCGGGGCAGAGCCGGCAGCGTGCGAGTGATGGGGCTTCGCTCCCAGGGCAGCTCCCGGCGCGGAGCCGGCGGTTGCACAAGTGCAGATGGGGGGGGAGAGGCTGCTGGGGCTCTGCCAGGGCCG